CAACGCGCACATGACCAATGAGGGCAGAGATCAGTGTGTGCCCAGATGAAGGCTGACAGGCAGGTAGGCCATCCAGTTACTTTAGCCGGCTCAGGTGATTGGTCGAGCTTTCTACAGCGCCACGGCTTCAAAGCACTTCATGTATTCATTGCTATCAGGACGTTAAGAGCATTCCATGGAATATAACAACAAGTGTATCTCGAGCCGGTTTCTCAAACTTACCCCACCTTTAAGTAAAAAGTACCCATAGCTAGCAGCTGCTTTAAAGAGTACCTGACCTCCCTTTATATTAATAGAACAATAATGTCATTGTTAGCTAATGAATGTTTCCATGCTGAACAACGGCAACATGACAACGTTTCCATTGGTCCCTCTTCTTTAGAGAAGACCAGGAAATGATGGATACACGGATCGTGTTCAAATCAATAGACACGCAATGACTCTAAAGAATAATGATCACGCACCAAACACACATTCAGACTAAAGGAACCAGCTGTTTGGAAAATGAGAGAAGTAGAAAGTACAAGTATTTGAGTTCAACATGAGAGAAGTAGAAAGTACAGGTATTTGAGTTCAACATGTGAGAAGTAGAAAGTACAGGTATTTGAGTTCAACATGTAAGAAGTAGAAAGTACAGGTATTTGAGTTCAACATGTAAGAAGTAGAAAGTACAGGTATTTGAGTTCAACATGTGAGAAGTAGAAAGTACAGGTATTTGAGTTCAACATGTAAGAAGTAGAAAGTACAGGTATTTGAGTTCAACATGTGAGAAGTAGAAAGTACAGGTATTTGAGTTCAACATGTAAGAAGTAGAAAGTACAGGTATTTGAGTTCAACATGTGAGAAGTAGAAAGTACAGGTATTTGTGTTCAACATGTGAGAAGTGAAAGTACAGGTATTTGAGTTCAACATGTAAGAAGTAGAAAGTACAGGTATTTGTGTTCAACATGTGAGAAGTAGAAAGTACAGGTATTTGAGTTCAACATGTAAGAAGTAGAAAGTACAGGTATTTGTGTTCAACATGTAAGAAGTAGAAAGTACAGGTATTTGAGTTCAACATGTAAGAAGTAGAAAGTACAGGTATTTGTGTTCAACATGAGAGAAGTAGAAAGTACAGGTATTTGAGTTCAACATGTAAGAAGTAGAAAGTACAGGTATTTGAGTTCAACATGTAAGAAGTAGAAAGTACAGGTATTTGAGTTCAACATGTGAGAAGTAGAAAGTACAGGTATTTGAGTTCAACATGTAAGAAGTAGAAAGTACAGGTATTGAGTTCAACATGTGAGAAGTAGAAAGTACAGGTATTTGAGTTCAACATGTAAGAAGTAGAAAGTACAGGTATTTGAGTTCAACATGTGAGAAGTAGAAAGTACAGGTATTTGTGTTCAACATGTGAGAAGTAGAAAGTACAGGTATTTGAGTTCAACATGTAAGAAGTAGAAAGTACAGGTATTTGTGTTCAACATGTGAGAAGTAGAAAGTACAGGTATTGAGTTCAACATGTAAGAAGTAGAAAGTACAGGTATTTGTGTTCAACATGTAAGAAGTAGAAAGTACAGGTATTTGAGTTCAACATGTAAGAAGTAGAAAGTACAGGTATTTGTGTTCAACATGAGAGAAGTAGAAAGTACAGGTATTTGAGTTCAACATGAGAGAAGTAGAAAGTACAGGTATTGAGTTCAACATGTAAGAAGTAGAAAGTACAGGTATTTGAGTTCAACATGTAAGAAGTAGAAAGTACAGGTATTTGTGTTCAACATGTAAGAAGTAGAAAGTACAGGTATTTGTGTTCAACATGAGAGAAGTAGAAAGTACAGGTATTTGAGTTCAACATGAGAGAAGTAGAAAGTACAGGTATTTGAGTTCAACATGTAAGAAGTAGAAAGTACAGGTATTTGAGTTCAACATGTAAGAAGTAGAAAGTACAGGTATTTGAGTTCAACATGTAAGAAGTAGAAAGTACAGGTATTTGAGTTCACATGAGAGAAGTAGAAAGTACAGGTATTTGAGTTCAACATGTGAGAAGTAGAAAGTACAGGTATTTGTGTTCAACATGAGAGAAGTAGAAAGTACAGGTATTTGTGTTCAACATGTAAGAAGTAGAAAGTACAGGTATTTGAGTTCAACATGTAAGAAGTAGAAAGTACAGGTATTTGTGTTCAACATGTAAGAAGTAGAAAGTACAGGTATTTGAGTTCAACATGTAAGAAGTAGAAAGTACAGGTATTTGAGTTCAACATGTGAGAAGTAGAAAGTACAGGTATTTGAGTTCAACATGTAGAAGTAGAAAGTACAGGTATTTGGAGTTCAACATGTAAGAAGTAGAAAGTACAGGTATTTGTGTTCAACATGTAAGAAGTAGAAAGTACAGGTATTTGAGTTCAACATGTAAGAAGTAGAAAGTACAGGTATTTGTGTTCAACATGTAAGAAGTAGAAAGTACAGGTATTTGTGTTCAACATGTGAGAAGTAGAAAGTACAGGTATTTGTGTTCAACATGTAAAGTAGAAAGTACAGGTATTTGTGTTCAACATGTAAGAAGTAGAAAGTACAGGTATTTGTGTTCAACATGTAAGAAGTAGAAAGTACAGGTATTTGTGTTCAACATGTAAGAAGTAGAAAGTACAGGTATTTGTGTTCAACATGTAAGAAGTAGAAAGTACAGGTATTTGTGTTCAACATGTAAGAAGTAGAAAGTACAGATATTTGTGTCAACATGTAAGAAGTAGAAAGTACAGGTATTTGTGTTCAACATGTAAGAAGTAGAAAGTACAGGTATTTGTGTTCAACATGTAAGAAGTAGAAAGTACAGGTATTTGTGTTCAACATGTGAGAAGTAGAAAGTACAGGTATTTGTGTTCAACATGTAAGAAGTAGAAAGTACAGGTATTTGTGTTCAACATGTGAGAAGTAGAAAGTACAGGTATTTGTGTTCAACATGTGAGAAGTAGAAAGTACAGATATTTGTGTTCAACATGTAAGAAGTAGAAAGTACAGGTATTTGTGTTCAACATGTAAGAAGTAGAAAGTACAGATATTTGTGTTCAACATGTGAGAAGTAGAAAGTACAGATATTTGTGTTCAACATGTGAGAAGTAGAAAGTACAGGTATTTGGGTTCAACATGTGAGAAGTAGAAAGTACAGGTATTTGTGTTCAACATGTGAGAAGTAGAAAGTACAGGTATTTGAGTTCAACATGTGAGAAGTAGAAAGTACAGGTATTTGTGTTCAACATGTAAGAAGTAGAAAGTACAGGTATTTGTGTTCAACATGTGAGAAGTAGAAAGTACAGGTATTTGAGTTCAACATGTGAGAAGTAGAAAGTACAGGTATTTGTGTTCAACATGTAAGAAGTAGAAAGTACAGATATTTGTGTTCAACATGTGAGAAGTAGAAAGTACAGATATTTGTGTTCAACATGTGAGAAGTAGAAAGTACAGGTATTTGGGTTCAACATGTGAGAAGTAGAAAGTACAGGTATTTGTGTTCAACATGTAAGAAGTAGAAAGTACAGGTATTTGAGTTCAACATGTAAGAAGTAGAAAGTACAGGTATTTGGGTTCAACATGTAAGAAGTAGAAAGTACAGATATTTGTGTTCAACATGTGAGAAGTAGAAAGTACAGATATTTGGGTTCAACATGTAAGAAGTAGAAAGTACAGGTATTTGAGTTCAACATGTAAGAAGTAGAAAGTACAGATATTTGGGTTCAACATGTAAGAAGTAGAAAGTACAGATATTTGTGTTCAACATGTGAGAAGTAGAAAGTACAGATATTTGGGTTCAACATGTAAGAAGTAGAAAGTACAGATATTTGTGTTCAACATGTAAGAAGTAGAAAGTACAGATATTTGTGTTCAACATGAGAGAAGTAAAAGTAAAAAGTCTTCAGAAAAATAAATAGTGGAGTAAAGTACTGATACCAGAAACATGTACTTAAGCAGGGACGTGCACAGGTACGGGCTACTGTTGCCCGGGCAACGGCCCGCTTGGCCTCTTGGCTGACCTGCCCCTCTGGAGAGCGAGAGTTTGCTCTTCTTTGTTCTGTTGTGGCTGAATCCACACGATGAGCCCTCACTCAGTATCGTAGCGTCTCGCTGAGGGAAGCACACTTTGTCAGCGCTGTCCTCTGCGCTGCGTTAAGACCACCTCAGTGTCGGATTTTGGAAACTTGATTTTGAGTGGTCTCATGGCAGTCAGGGTATAAGGGACAAACCAGGGGGCTTGACTTCCTCTTGATGCCGGCGGTTATTTACAGAAAACACCTGAACATAGCTACTTGTTGTTGAGCTTCTGTCTTTCTGTGTCTGAACTCGCTCAACACGCCGCTCGCCCTCTCACGGTGAACACTTCAATGTCCCGCTTCATTGTAGGATTTCTGCCATGTCTCCACTTCAGTTTGACCATCTCTGTTACTAAGTTATGGAATACTAAATAAATAAGTAATTAGAGACCTTACCGTCACTGCGCTCATAAAGGATGATAAGAATAAGAATAATGCGTCTTGAACTGGTTTCATTCATTAGTGAGTTTATTTAAGGTAATTAGTGAGAAGCCCTATTTTATCAGCATGTCTGCACAGCAGTTATAAAGGTCAAACTACATTGAATTGTCCCCATTGTGTCTTTAATATTTCCTAACATTAGATATGGACCGCAAAACTAAGAATGCCCCTGGTTTTCATTTTTAAAATCAAATCAACGAATGCAAGTAGTCGCCTTAGCTTATTTTCTTATGAGATGTGAATTACTGTTAATTTAGTTGATGTAAAAATCCTTTGGTTTCTTTTACATTAAAAACAAGTTACAATTTTCAAAAGGTCTTGTGTTTTTTTCGGGGGGGGGGGCCCTCTTTCCAGTTTAGAGCAATAGCCCCTCTAAATGTCTGTGCACGTCCCTGTACTTAAGTACAGTAACAAAGTATTTGTACTCCAATACTTCCCACTTTGGTCAGGAGGAAGTGGGCGGGGCTAAAGGACACAGGGTCCGGCTCGGTTCACCTTGTGCATCTGTGGCGCTCGGGGGTTTGTCCCCACGTCCACCACGTAGATCCTGGAGGAGATGAGTGACGGCAGGATCAGACGGTTCCTCTTCTTGGAGGCGTCTCCGAAGCAGCTGCTGCAGGCGTTCCAGCCCGAGTGGTGCAGCTCGTCCCGAAGGTTCGGCATCGGCAGGCGGTGGATCACCTGAGAGAGGACAGAGACACCTGATCACCTGAGAGAGACACAGCTGATCACCTGAGAGAGGACAGAGACACCTGATCACCTGAGAGAGACACAGCTGATCACCTGAGAGAGGACAGAGACACTACTGATCACCTGAGAGAGGACAGAGACACCTGATCACCTGAGAGAGACACAACTGATCACCTGAGAGAGGACACACCTGATCACCTGAGAGAGGACACACCTGATCACCTGAGAGAGACACAGCTGATCACCTGAGAGAGGACACACTAAACCGCATGGTCTTATTTTTATCTTGGTTTTATGGAGATCATTGATAGACATGCACCCCTGCGTACATTTAGAGTGAAGGGACGAGACAATCCTTGGTTCTCTGCTGAACTGTCCAGTCTCCTTCATGAGAGAAACAAGGCCTGGGCAAAGGCTAGGAGATCAGGCTCAGAGGTAGAGTGGCTGCGTTTCAGGCAGCTAAGGAATAGCTTCACTTCACATGTTCAAAAGTGCTAAATCAAAGTACTATCTGTCAGTTTCCACAAAGAATCTGAATAATCCTGGAACATTTTGGAAAGCCATTAAATCGCTATCCACCGGTGAGATCCGTAATGAGCTACCTCCGTGCCTTACCACAGCATCTGGCTCTATATCGGACAGGGCCTACTATGTTAAACTGTTTTAATGAGCATTTTGTGTCCTGTGGTTCTCTGTTTGATTCTGTCACTAACTCTGCTTCTGTGAACACTACAGTCTGTGACTCTGAACAATGTGGTCTGGAAAACCCTTTTAGTTTTACTCCTTTTACTGTTGATGTTGTTCGTGAAGCTTTAACCAAGTTAGATCCTAAGAAACCGGCCGGCCCGGACAACGTAGAACCTTTCTTTTTAAAGATAGCTGCAGATTTTATTGCTCCACCTCTCACTACTCTTTTTAACCTCTCCCTCAGCACTAATGCAATTCCAAAAGTATGGAAGTCAGCGTATGTCCTGCCTTTGCTAAAAGGAGGGGAGGCCACCTTATTAAATAACTATAGGCCAATCTCTAAGTTGTCAGTTCTGGCCAAGGTTCTTGAACGCTTAGTGAGTGAACAGGTAAAGGAGTTTTTATGTAACAATGACATCCTGTCTAAACATCAGTCAGGCTTCAGAAAGCAACACAGCACCATCACTGCCACAATGAAAGTGGTGAATGATGTGGCGAGTATCTTAGATAATAAGCAGAGTTGTGCAGCTCTATTTATTGACCTGTCCAAAGCGTTTGATACCGTCGATCATCGCATCTTAAAGCAGAGGCTACTCAGTATCGGCATATCCAGCCATGCAGTGGGTGGTTTGTGAACTACCTCTCTGAAAGGTCCCAATGTGTTCACTTTGATGGGCTGTCTTCTGAGTGGTTAAACATTGCTAATGGTGTTCCTCAAGGTTCTGTTTTAGGTCCACTTTTATTCTCCATATCAACAGTTTAGGTGAAAATGTGGATGAAGCTACTTTACATTTGTATGCGGAAGATACCGTGATGTACTGTGCAGGTCCCTCCATTCAGGAGGCTGGTGTTACATTACAGGCTGTTTTTAACATTATTCAGACTCAGCTCTCTGAACTAAAGCTTCTTTTAAATGTTGAGAAAACCAAGGTAATGCTCTTTCTAAAGCTAAAAAGACACCAGAGCCTGTTTTAGATATTGTAACTACGCAAGGACAATTACTCAAAGTGGTTACCTTTTCTAAATACCTAGGTCTCTTGATGATTGTCTCACTTTTAAACTTCATGTCAATAACCTGCTTAAAAAGCTGAGGGTTAGGCTAGGTTTCTTCTACAGGAACAAGTCCTGTTTCTCGCTTGAGGCCAGGAAAAGGCTCTGTGACCTTTTGACCTGTGCTGGACTCTGGTGATCTGGTCTATATGAATGCACCTGCTGCCCATTGCCTGATCAAGTTAGATGCTGCGTATCACAGCGCACTGAGATGTGTGACACACTGTAAAGCACTCACTCATCACTGTACCCTGTATGCGAGGCAGGTCTGCCTTCACTAACTGTACGGAGGCTCAGTCACTGGTACACGTTCATCTATAAAGCCATGTTGGGTAAACTACCTTCTTATATCTGCTCTCTGATCTCTCCACGAATTGAAAGTACATATTTCCTGAGATCTCATGATGTTGTTTTATTAAATGTGCCAAGTGCTAGGACTGTCTTAGGGAAGAAAGCTTTTAGTTGTGCAGCTCCACTAACTTGGAACAGTCTGCAAACATGTTTCAAACTGAGCACTTTGGTTCCCCTGCATCACTTTGAAACTCAGCTGTTTGATACTCATGGTACCTGTCTCTGTGGATAGAGTCTGTAAACTGTACATTATGTTGTATGTCATCCTTATTGTTGTTCTGTTGTTTCTATGTTACATGTGTGACTAATGTCCTGCAGGTCACCCTGAAGAAGAGATCTGTTGATCTCAAGGGGCTTCACCTGGTTAAATAAAGGCTACAAACAAACTACTCTCAGAAAAAGTCAGAATTTTTTGAGTCAAGAATTGGGACATCAGGAGGATACGTCCCCAGCTGACACAGAAAGCGACTCAGGTTCTGGTCCAGGCTCTCGTCATCTCACGCCTAGACTACTGCAACTCCCTCCTGGCTGGTCTACCTGCATGTGCCATCCGACCTCTGCAGCTCATCCAGAATGCAGCGGCTCGTCTGGTCTTCAACCTTCCTAAATGTTCCCACACCACTCCGCTCCTCCGCTCCCTTCACTGGCTTCCGGTAACTGCTAGAATCCACTTCAAGACACTGGTACTTGCTTACCATGCTGCGAATGGATCTGGCCCTTCGTACATCCAGGACATGGTTAAACCGTACACCCCAGCACGTGCACTACGCTCTGCATCAGCCAAACGACTCGCTGCACCCTCGCTGCGAGGGGAACCAAGTTCCCATCGGCGAAAACACGTGGGTTTGCTGTCCTGGCTCCAAGATGGTGGAATGAGCTCCCCATTGACATCAGGACAGCAGAAAGCTTACACACCTTCCAGACTGAAAACTCATCTCTTTCGACTCCACTTCGAGCGATAGAACTATTAACAAAGCACTTTTATACTAATAAAGGACTGGCTTATCTAAAGCCAGTTGAGTAGCACTTGAAATGTTTGGCTCTATGAAACCTGATGTACTTTATGATTCTGTTTTCTTCAAGGTTGTGTCTTCCTGGTCGAATGTACTTATTGTAAGTCGCTTTGGACAAAAGCGTCAGCTAAATGCAATGTAATGTAATGTAATGTAATTGTTACCTTACAGTAGGTCGGTGACTTCGGGTCAACATCAACGGTGGCCAGGTAATCTGGTTTCAGGATGCCGGTGTTACAGTAAATACAGGGGAGATAAACGATCTCCTCCCGAGGACCTGCAGCAGGAAACACAACCTTGTTAGAGAAATATCTCAAACCCTCCTTAAAAGCTGCATCGTCTATTATATCGAGCAGGGGCGACTGTATAGAAGTCTATGAGGAAATGTTCCTACTTCTCTCTTGATTACCTCAGACTGTAGAGAAGTCTATGAGGAAATGTTCCTACTTCTCTCTTGATTACCTCAGACTGTAGAGAAGTCTATGAGGGACAATGTTCCTACTTTTCTCTCTATGATTACCTCAGACTGTAGAGAAGTCTATGAGGGAAATGTTCCTACTTCTCTCCTCGTTTATTACCTCAGACTGTATAGAGTCTATGAGGAAATGTTCCTACTTTCTCTCTCTATTACCTCAGACTGTATAGAAGTCTATGAGGAACTTTCCTACTTCTCTCTCATATTACCTCAGACTGTATAGAAGTCTATGAGGAAATGTTTCCTACTTCTCTTCTCTATTACCTCAGACTGTATAGAAGACTATGAGGAAATGTTCCTACTTCTCTCTCTATTACCACAGACTGTATAGAAGACTATGAGGAAATGTTCCTACTTCTCTCTTGATTACCTCAGACTGTATAGAAGTCTATGAGGAAATGTTCCTACTTCTCTCTCTATTACCTCAGACTGTATAGAAGTCTATGAGGAAATGTTCCTACTTCTCTCTTGATTACCTCAGACTGTATAGAAGTCTATGAGGAAATGTTCCTACTTCTCTCTTGATTACCTCAGACTGTATAGAAGTCTATGAGGAAATGTTCCTACTTTTCTCTCTATTACCTCAGACTGTATAGAAGTCTATGAGGAAATGTTCCTACTTCTCTCTCTATTACATCAGACTGTATAGAAGTCTATGAGGAAATGTTCCTACTTCTCTCTTGATTACCTCAGACTGTATAGAAGTCTATGAGGAAATGTTCCTACTTCTCTCTCTATTACATCAGACTGTATAGAAGTCTATGAGGAAATGTTCCTACTTCTCTCTCTATTACCTCAGACTGTATAGAAGTCTATGAGGAAATGTTCTTACTTCTCTCTCTATTACCTCAGATTGTAGAGAAGTCTATGAGGAAATGTTCCTACTTCTCTCTTGATGACCTCAGACTGTATAGAAGACTATGAGGAAATGTTCCTACTTCTCTCTTGATTACCTCAGACTGTATAGAAGACTATGAGGAAATGTTCCTACTTCTCTCTTGATTACCTCAGACTGTATAGAAGACTATGAGGAAATGTTCCTACTTCTCTCTTGATTACCTCAGACTGTATAGAAGACTATGAGGAAATATTCCTACTTCTCTCTTGATTACCTCAGACTGTATAGAAGTCTATGAGGAAATGTCTCACCCTTCATGGCGTCCAATGGGCTGTTGTAACCCGGTCCACATCCTTTACATCCGGCTGAAACACAACAACACCTGTTAACATTGTGCTAACAGACCTAGCACGTTAGCTCACCTGACGTCACTTCTATTGTCTCTGATGTTATCATGTTTTTAATATTATTTCACAACTTTCAACATTAAAGTGAACACACTTTAATGTTACATTAAAGTGAACACACTGTCAGTGGTGAACCGTCAGGACCTTCAAGGTATTCAGAGAATACCCAGGAACACTCAGATAAAACTAACAAAAAATTGATTTAATTATATAAGTTACATTTTATAAAAATGTAAATAAACTTTACATTTGTGGTTTTGTGTAAGAAAGAAAATGCAACCAATCAGATATGTTTCTGGGCCTCTGGGTAGAATATCCTTCAACAAGGTGTTCTATATCCTTGTTAGAATGCCCTGGCCCTCACCTGGCAAGAATCCTTCCTAGCCTCGGAAAACGAAGAATGGTGAAACAGGCTAACAGGTGTGCGTCATATGCGAGGCCCCGCCTTAAATGGAGTGCGATTTCCGCCAAAGATTTTGGAAATTGGTCCGTGCGCAAAGCATTGTGGGTATTTTAAGACCGCGGAGGATACACATGTGCAGCCTCAACATTTCCCGCACGAAGTACACCGGTCTCGGTAGAATTCCAAGGATCCTTAACATTGGAACAGTCCTTCGGCGGCACTCGATGACGTAGTATGCTTGAACCAAAAGCCTTGGCGTCATCCTGGACAGCACCCTTTCGTTTGCACCCCACATAGAAAACATCACCCGGACTGCCTTCTTCCATATCCGCAACATTTCCAGACTCCGCCCATCCCTTTCACAATCCAGTACCGAAATCCTGGTTAATGCATTTGTCACATCCCGGATTGACCACTGTAATGCTATCCTCTCTGGCCTAACCACAAAACTACTCAACAGACTTCAAATCATTCAAAACTCGGCTGCCCGGATCATTACCTGTACCAAATCGTCTGACCACATCACCCCCATCCTCATCCAACTTCACTGGCTCCCTGTTCAGCACCGGATTGACTACAAAAACCTTCTGCTTACATACAAAGCCCTCAACAACCTCACCCCCACCTATCTCTCAAACCTCCTCCAGGAATACACCCCCTCCCGCTCCCTGCGCTCATCCTCAGCCGGACTCCTGACTGTCCCCACCTACCGCCTTAGCACCATGGGAGCCAGGGCTTTTAGCTGCACCGCACCCAGGCTCTGGAACTCTCTGCCTCCACACATCAAACAGTCTGACTCCATCACGACATTCAAAACCCACCTGTTTAAACTGGCCTACTCACTCTAAAACACATTCAACCTGCTATCACCTCAAGCTCAACCTTGACAAGACTGAGCTGCTCTTCCTTCCGGGAAAAGATTGTCCCACTCTTGACCTAACAATCAACATCGGCACCTCAGTTGTTTCCCCGACTCAGACTGCAAGGAATCTGGGTGTGACCCTAGATAACAACCTGTCCTTCACTGCAAACATCGCTGCTACAACCCGCTGCTGCAGATACACGCTTTACAACATCAGGAGGATACGTCCCCAGCTGACTCAGAAAGCGACTCAGGTTCTGGTCCAGGCTCTCGTCATCTCACGCCTAGACTACTGCAACTCCCTCCTGGCTGGTCTACCTGCATGTGCCATCCGACCTCTGCAGCTCATCCAGAATGCAGCGGCTCGTCTGGTCTTCAACCTTCCTAAATGTTCCCACACTACTCCGCTCCTCCGCTCCCTTCACTGGCTTCCGGTAACTGCTAGAATCCACTTCAAGACACTGGTACTTGCTTACCGTGCTGCGAATGGATCTGGCCCTTCCTACATCCAGGACATGGTTAAACCGTACACCCCAGCGCGTGCACTACGCTCTGCATCAGCCAAACGACTCGCTGCACCCTCGCTGCGAGGGGGACCCAAGTTCCCATCGGCAGAAACACGTGGGTTTGCTGTCCTGGCTCCAAGATGGTGGAATGAGCTCCCCATTGACATCAGGACAGCAGATAGCTTGCACACCTTCCAGACTGAAAACTCATCTCTTTCAACTCCACTTCGAGCGATAGAACTATTAACGAAGCACTTATATACTAATAAAGGACTGGCTTACCTAAAGCCAGTTGAGTAGCACTTGAAATGTTTGGCTCTATGAAACCTGATGTACTTTATGATTCTGTTTTCTTCAAGGTTGTGTCTTCCTGGTGGAATGCACTTATTGTAAGTCGCTCTGGATAAAAGCGTCAGCTAGATGTAATGTAATGTAATGTATCACAGATCCTCCTCTCACTCTGTCTCTCCACACTCTTGTCTTGCCTGTTTTATGCTTTCATGCTGCTGTATTGCCTTGTCGGTTCAATTAAATTGTGTTCCGTTTCTGTTTTAGCTGTTTTAACTTTGAAATGCACTGTAAGGCGACCTTGGGTGTCCTGAAAGGCGCCTCGAAATAAAACGTATTATTATTATTAATAGTGGCTCTGGAGACATGGTCAGTGTGCTTCATTGCTTCATGTTTCAGAAGGTTCGGTTTGCGTTCACACAGGCAAAATTCAAAATGGACTATCAACTTTAAACACAAGTCTTGTGCACATTTACCACGAACATACTTACATTTAAATGTGTACTGCGTTGCTTCAGCCATTTTCCGCCAAAGATTTGGGAAATTGGTCCGTGCGCAAAGCATTGTGGGTAATTTAAGACCGCAGAGGTCCACCTGGACCCCTGAGGTGCTGGGGAAGGACCCCTAACCCCAGTGGATCATCAGGACAGAGCTGCATCCACCTGGACCCCCCGAGGTGCTGGAGAAGGACCCCTAACCCCAGCGGATCATCAGGACAGAGCAGCATCCACCTGGACCCCCCGAGGTGCTGGAGAAGGACCCCTAACCCCAGAGGATCATCAGGACAGAGCTGCATCCACCTGGACCCCCCCGAGGTGCTGGAGAAGGACCCCTAACCCCAGAGGATCATCAGGACAGAGCTGCATCCACCTGGACCCCCCGAGGTGCTGGAGAAGGACCCCTAACCCCAGAGGATCATCAGGACAGAGCTGCATCCACCTGGACCCCCCGAGGTGCTGGAGAAGGACCCCTAACCCCAGAGGATCATCAGGACAGAGCTGCATCCACCTGGACCCCCCGAGGTGCTGGAGAAGGACCTCTAACCCCAGAGGATCATCAGGACAGAGCTGCATCCACCTGGACCCCCCGAGGTGCTGGAGAAGGACCTCTAACCCCAGAGGATCATCAGGACAGAGCTGCATCCACCTGGACCCCCGAGGTGCTGGAGAAGGACCCCTAACCCCAGAGGATCATCAGGACAGAGCAGCATCCACCTGGACCCCCCGAGGTGCTGGAGAAGGACCCCTAACCCCAGTGGATCATCAGGACAGAGCTGCATCCACCTGGACCCCCGAGGTGCTGGAGAAGGACCCCTAACCCCAGAGGATCATCAGGACAGAGCTGCATCCACCTGGACCCCCCCGAGGTGCTGGAGAAGGACCTCTAACCCCAGAGGATCATCAGGACAGAGCTGCATCCACCTGGACCCCCGAGGTGCTGGAGAAGGACCCCTAACCCCAGAGGATCATCAGGACAGAGCTGCATCCACCTGGACCCCCGAGGTGCTGGAGAAGGACCCCTAACCCCAGAGGATCATCAGGACAGAGCAGCATCCACCTGGACCCCCCCCGAGGTGCTGGAGAAGGACCCCTAACCCCAGTGGATCATCAGGACAGAGCTGCATCCACCTGGACCCCCGAGGTGCTGGAGAAGGACCCCTAACCCCAGAGGATCATCAGGACAGAGCAGCATCCACCTGGACCCCCCGAGGTGCTGGAGAAGGACCCCTAACCCCAGTGGATCATCAGGACAGAGCTGCATCCACCTGGACCCCCCGAGGTGCTGGAGAAGGACCCCTAACCCCAGAGGATCATCAGGACAGAGCTGCATCCACCTGGACCCCCCGAGGTGCTGGAGAAGGACCTCTAACCCCAGAGGATCATCAGGACAGAGCTGCATCCACCTGGACCCCCCCCGAGGTGCTGGAGAAGGACCCCTAACCCCAGAGGATCATCAGGACAGAAAAGCATCCACCTGGACCCCCCGAGGTGCTGGAGAAGGACCCCTAACCCCAGAGGATCATCAGGACAGAGCAGCATCCACCTGGACCCCCCGAGGTGCTGGAGAAGGACCCCTAACCCCAGAGGATCATCAGGACAGAGCTGCATCCACCTGGACCCCCCGAGGTGCTGGAGAAGGACCCCTAACCCCAGAGGATCATCAGGACAGAGCAGCATCCACCTGGACCCCCCGAGGTGCTGGAGAAGGACCCCTAACCCCAGAGGATCATCAGGACAGAGCTGCATCCACCTGGACCCCCCGGGGTGCTGGAGAAGGACCCCTAACCCCAGAGGATCATCAGGACAGAGCTGCATCCACCTGGACCCCCCGAGGTGCTGGAGAAGGACCCCTAACCCCAGTGGATCATCAGGACAGAGCTGCATCCACCTGGACCCCCCGAGGTGCTGGAGAAGGACCCCTAACCCCAGAGGATCATCAGGGACAGAGCTGAATCCACCTGGACCCCCCCCCCGAGGTGCTGGAGAAGGACCCCTAACCCCAGAGGATCATCAGGACAGAGCTGAATCCACCTGGACCCCCGAGGTGCTGGAGAAGGACCCCTAACCCCAGAGGATCATCAGGACAGAGCTGAATCCACCTGGACCCCCGAGGTGCTGGAGAAGGACCCCTAACCCCAGAGGATCATCAGGACAGAGCTGCAATCCACCTGGACCCCCCGAGGTGCTGGAGAAGGACCCCTAACCCCAGAGGATCATCAGGACAGAGCTGAATCCACCTGGACCCCCCCCCCGAGGTGCTGGAGAAGGACCCCTAACCCCAGAGGATCATCAGGACAGAGCTGCATCCACCTGGACCCCCCCCCGAGGTGCTGGAGAAGGACCTCTAACCCCAGAGGATCATCAGGACAGAGCTGCATCCACCTGGACCCCCCGAGGTGCTGGAGAAGGGACCCCTAACCCCAGAGGATCATCAGGACAGAGCTGCATCCACCTGGACCCCCCGAGGTGCTGGAGAAGGACCCCTAACCCCAGAGGATCATCAGGACATAGCAGCATCCACCTGGACCCCGAGGTGCTGGAGAAGGACTCCTAACCCCAGAGGATCATCAGGACATAGCAGCATCCACCTGGACCCCCGAGGTGCTGGAGAAGGACCCCTAACCCCAGAGGATCATCAGGACAGAGCTGCATCCACCTGGACCCCCCCCCGAGGTGCTGGAGAAGGACCCCTAACCCCAGAGGATCATCAGGACATAGCAGCATCCACCTGGACCCCCGAGGTGCTGGGAGAAGGACCCCTAACCCCAGAGGATCATCAGGACAGAGCTGCATCCACCTGGACCCCCCGAGGTGCTGGAGAAGGACCCCTAACCCCAGAGGATCATCAGGACAGAGCTGCATCCACCTGGACCCCCCGAGGTGCTGGAGAAGGACCCCTAACCCCAGAGGATCATCAGGACAGAGCTGCCATCCACCTGGACCCCCGAGGTGCTGGAGAAGGACCCCTAACCCCAGAGGATCATCAGGACAGAGCTGCATCCACCTGGACCCCCCCAAGGGTGCTGGAGAAGGACCCCTAACCCCAGAGGATCATCAGGACAGAGCTGCATCCACCTGGACCCCCGAGGTGCTGGAGAAGGACCCCTAACCCCAGAGGATCATCAGGACAGAGCAGCATCCACCTGGACCCCCCGAGGTGCTGGAGAAGGGACCCCCCTAACCCCAGAGGATCATCAGGACAGAGCAGCAATCCACCTGGACCCCCGAGGTGCTGGAGAAGGACCTCTACCCCAGAGGATCATCAGGACAAAGATCGGCAATCCACCTGGACCCCGAGGTGCGAGAAGGACCCCTAACCGCCAGATGATCATCAGCCAGAGCAGCATCACCTGGACCCCCCCGAGGTGCTGAGAAGGACCCCTGACCCCAGAGGATCATCAGGGACAGAGCAGCATCCACCTGGACCCCCCGAGGTGCTGGAGAAGGACCCCCTAACCCCAGAGGATCATCAGGACAGAGCTGC